GAGATGTCCCGAACATAATTGTAGAAGGCCTCGAACCCTAAACCCTAACGTCCTTCAATTTGAATCACTCCAAAATTCATTTGTTTCTTCATGTTTTGCTCCAGAGAAAGTCGAATGTCCTATATTGAAAATACATGACAAAGTATCAAAATTCTACCAAAATAACCAATAAACTATAACTAAGAATAGGGTACGGCATAATATGGACTCATCAAAAACTTTAGACTAACCATCTAGAAAGTAAAAATACACCAAAAACACAAGATTTGAATCCAATAGATTAATAGCAAAGAAGATTAACAAAAAATAAATTCCATACCATGATACTTACTAGATTATTGGCCAAAACAAAATGCTACATAATTGAAATCAAAGGTTTCTAGCAACTGGTTATGATCCAAAAACGATACATTCCACTGAAAAATAAACAAAATTAAAAAAAGGATCTCTACTATTTCACTCAAAAAATAAAACGATGTTCCTCTGGAACATAAGCACTCCAATTACTCTCCAAAGATATTGAAATCAAAGTCTTCATCGGACTTATCGTTCTCCTCGACCTTCTCTTCTTTCTTTGCCTCGGACAGAGCAGGAGCAGCGCCACCACCAGTTGAAGCAACTGCAACAGCACCACCACCAGCAGATGGGACGGAGGACATCTTTTCCCGCCCAAACGCAATTAGCTCTGCGATGTCCTTACCCTCAACTCCCGAAAGAAGAAGTTGAATCTCGCCATCATCGGCCTCAGCGCCAACGGACCGGAGGATGTCCTTGAGATCTTCGGTGGAAGGGGCAGTGTTGCCCCCAACACGGCCAACAAGTATGCGGCTAGCACCTTCATATCTGCTTGAATTTGCAGCTGAATGCGAGTCTCACATTTGTATTGATAGAACTGATGAATATTACAGCCGATAACTAGGATTTATATAGCCATCATAAACCTAATCCTACTAGGAAGCGTAAATAACAAGCGAAGGGAAATCCTAAACCAAATAGAAAAAGAAAACTAATTAAATCCTATTTCTTTAAAAATAATACTATTTCTTTTGGGAAAATCTCTGACTATTACAACCGGTAACTAGGGTTTATATAGCCATCATAACGTAATCCTACTAAGAAACGTAAATAATTATAATTAAATCCTATTTCTTTAAAGAATCCAATTTCTTTGGGGAACTCAAATCCTAATCAGACTTGATGTGCTACTGTTTGGGCCCAAAATAATATTTTGGGCCGAGCTAAGAGTCGTTCTCTGTCCAGTCAAGCTCGATTGAATTCTGGTTGCGAGAAGGATTGGTTTAGATAAAAGAGAGGTAGTTAAAAGGAGTCTTAAAGCTGAAGGTGCTTAGAATTAGGAATGAATCTGGTTTGTTAAAGAACGTGGTTCAAAGTCATATAGGAGTTAGGATTGGTCGAAATCTGATCAGATTGGGATGAGAAGTTCTAATCCGAGTACATCTCTAGTTCAGCCATAAGGGGGGTTCGCTACTATAAATAGAGAAGGGAGTGCATCATTCAATCCTTTCCAAATCAACACACAAATTGCCCTGCTCAAAGCTTCTCAACAACCTTTTAGATTTTATCCTCTTCCCTTTTCTTCCCGCCAACATATCTTCAATTTGGATAAACAACACTGTAAAGGCAACCGGCGACATATTCAGTTTGGATAGACATCACTGGAGTCGTAGAATCAGCCGACCAAGAAGCACCTTTAGTTTGGATAGACAGCACTGCTTCGAGGTCGACTGGTTATTTATACAAGTCTCGGTCGATAAGGATTTGCGAGTCCTTGTTGGTAGAGGTCATCTCATCAGCCTTCTTAGCAAAGTGAGGTGTCGCATGTTACTAGGCTCAGCACATTGAACGCCGAGTTTTGCTTTATGATTGGATATTCACAAGTACATTTTAGAGCTCGGCACTCCGACGGCTGAACCACATTTACCATCAAGACATTTATCTATTTCGGGGTATTTGTGTCTATATAGTTTGGTACCCGTTCAGCGTACTTATACTCTCACGGATATAATTACCGAGACTGAGCCCAGCGTCGACAATTTGTGAACTTCGCAGAACTAGGAGCCTTGTCTTCAGGCTTTTGAACCCGAAGGCCGCGATGTGTTCCTTCATTGGCTGCAGTTGCAAGATTGAGAAGTCAGCAGTGCGCTCAACGCCACATCAACATATTTTACTCCTTGGCCAAGCTTGGCAGACGAGTTGGCACGCCCCCCACATAACCAAATGACGTAGTTAGCTTATTAGTTACTCGGCATGCGCGCCACGTAGGCTTGGTAGTTTTTATGGTCAACATTGCAACATCCTGTCCTGGGATTTACGGAACAAAAAGGGTGTTTTTGTATTTTCATTAAGTTTGGGGATATTTTTCCTTTTAAAAATTGTTTTTGGGTCTTAAATGGTGTGCCCAAGGGGCCCACCCCCTGTTTTGTCCCCCGGTTCCCTTTCCCTTTCTTTTATTTTTTTTTTCTTCTTTCTTCTGAAAAGTCTTCCTATTTCTCTCTTCTCCCTCACTCTCCCTTATCACTCTCTCTCTGCTCTCTCTATCTCAGCCCCTCTGAGGGCTTTTCTTACCAACAAACAACACCATAACATCAACATCTCCATTAGCACCCTAGTGAGCTTAGAATCGAATGAGAACACCCTGAACCCCTCCCTTTCTCTCAGCCTACATTGTTCACCGAAGTTCTTCGGTGAGTTTCCTCATTCTCCGACGAAGGTAAACCTTGAACCTCATCCAATAGTTGTAGATCATGTCTTAGTGTATGTTTGGAAGTGGTTTCAAGAAGTTTTATCGATGTTTGGATTAGGAACCTCACAGGGGAAACTTCCCCAGTTTTCAGGTGAGCACCGCCCCTTTCGAGGCAATTTTCGGCCAAACCACAACTATTTGGCCAACGTGAAAGGTATTAATCTCTTCATCTCACTGAGTACTACAACTTTCCTTTTTGTTTCACCTAATTTCATGGAGTATTGAAGAAGTTATATCCATTTGCATCTTACCCAGTTTCTAGCGACCTCAGTGACTTTCGAGGCGTTTTTCGGCCAAACCATGGCGAGTTAGACATCGTGCAAGGTATTATTATCTTTATCTCGTCGAGAACTACAACTTTCATTTTTGTTTCACTCGATTTTGTTGAGTATTGACAAAGTTATGAACGTTTAAAGTTTGTCTAAAATTCTGGCCGAAATCTGGCCTTGGCGACCCATGTTTTGAATTCGGGCAAAGACCCAGTGAGCTGAGGCCTATTTGGGCCGTGCAAAAATGGCCTAAGGCCCGTGAAACCCCAAACCATTAACCCTAAAACCCTTCAGCCCAAACCCTATTTATTTTTATTTATTTTGTTTTCTATTTTAAAACCCAAAGGCCTTGGGCCATTTCTGTTAGGGCCTTAAGCCCGTTAGCCATTAAACCCTTTAAACCTTTTAAACCCATACCCTTTTTAATTATTATATCCCAAAACCCTTTGAGGCCAAAAGCCTAAACCCTAACTGGCCCAAACCCTTTATGGAGAATATTCTGTTAGGGAATATTCCATCAGGAAATATTCTAGGAATATTCCATCGACTTATACGAAATTTATTCGGGACCCTTCTTAGGGTAATTCGACATCCTGAATCTGTTTCCAACGTCCGTTTTCCAATTGTTATAATAGAGTTTTATTAATTGGACCATTTATGTGCTTAGGGGCAATTATTGTGACGTTTTTGTCTTCGCTAATTTGCGTGGCTCTTCAGTGGCGAAGTATCTGTGAGTGGACCCCTTCTAAAAATGCATGTTTTATAGTAGAAATGCATACATGAAAAGCATGATTTAATGATTACGTTTTACGAAACGTTTTATGAGATAACATGCTTATTGAGGCTAGTTTGAATTATTACTATTTTTCCTATAACCCGTGTTCTTATAGAATATCTGATGGATGACGATATGATATTTAGAACATGTTTTGAACACCTCTTTATAGTATAGATGATGGATGACTTTATACTATGAAGTTGTTTTTCAATATATATATGTTTAATGGTTTTGTACTTACCTAGTGGTCCTTATTCCGCTACAAGACGTAGGGATAGATTCCGGTCTGTCCCGGGCTACGGTTTGGTGTTGGCATAGGGCTTGGAGTGTGTTTCCTCTGGCTATTTAGCACAGGGACGGGGAACCGGCATGGGGCCTGGGGGTAATTTTCGTCTGATTGTCTGCTCAGAGACAGGGAGCCGGCATGGGGCCTGAGGGTTATCGGACATTCACTAGTGATTATTATATATACAAGTTATGATTTGAGACATTGCACGGCATGCTATGTTTCGGAAAACCTATGTTTATCATGATATATATGTGTTTTCATAAAACCTGGGGGTTGGTACATTGATAATTGTTTTATTATATATATATCTATATATAGGGCTGGAAAAAAATCCCAAAAATCCCAAACCAAACCAAAAAAATCCCGATCCCAAACCAAAAAAATCCCAAACCAAAATTCCCGAAATTTTCGGTATAGGATTCGGTTTTGCATTTCTATTTTTCGGTATTCCCATACCGAACCGAAAAAAAAATTATATATATATATATATTATTTTTTAATTATAAGAGAATTATTTCCAACTGTTCATTGTTTTAGATTTAATCTGTGCTGTTCATTTGTTTCTAGGTCATATCCCATTTCAGATTTCACTTCCGTTCATTTGTTCCATCCAATCGAACTCGAAGCGCAGCCCTCCCTCACCGAGCCCTCATCTCTCATCCGACTGTCTGTGTTGAATTCCGGCCAGCCACCGCGTACCACCACACCGAGCCCTCGTCTCTGACTCTCCACCACCGCGATCTCTCTCTCTCGGGTAATTAATTTAGTGTTTTGAAATCTAATTTCTGTCTTCCTTTTGAAATTTAATTTAGGGTTTGGAATCTAATTTCAATCTTGAATCTTCCCTTACTGGTTTCATATGTTTATATACGTTTCATGAAAAGAAAAGAAAAATTGGAAATGGTTGTGATGCTTTCTGTGCAGATGATGGCGGAGGAATGGATCCCGAAGGTATGCGCAAATGCATGAGCTTGGGGTATTCAATCCACCACTTGCAGAAGATGAGTAGTTTCTTGAGTACCGTGATTTTGTTGAATGTGTTCAAAATTAAAATAACGAGCATATGGGAATTTTGGGTTTTCATTTTTGGCATGTTTTGAGAATTTTCCTTGTCCTGTTTGGATGCCAAGAAAAAAAAGCATATCTGAAAGGTTAAAAGCTTGGGAACAGAAGAAATGTTAATTTGTGTTGAACCCATGTTGGAGATTCAGCTGAGAAATGTGATTCGTGTGTGTTGGTCTTGTACTTCTTGTGATGGGGTTTTAAATTTTTAAGTGCAGGATATTAAGGGAAATGATGTCGATCTTAGCATTTACAAGGGAAAAGTTCTGCTGGTCATCAATGTTGCTTCCAAATGGTAATATACATTATACACCCTCGTTTTTGTCCCTATCGTTTTATGCTTTCATTCATTGCTTTTTTTACTGATTTTCCCGGCAGCGGACTGACCAACTCAAATTACGATGAGCTGAATCAACTGTATCAAAACTATAAAGATCAAGGTTTGCATATAGAACTTGTATTGTATTCTTACATGTTCTTGAGCTGACATCTATCAATGTAGTTACTTCTCTTACAAGTTGAGTTCTGGTACATGCTAATCTGCTGCTTTTGAATTAATACACTGTCTTGCATATGCAATGATCTAATGTGTATTAGAAAAACATGAATTCCCTCAAAAGTTTTGCAGAAATCCTACCTTTTCCATTATTTTCCCCTTTGTATGATATATTGGGAGGTTGATGCAGGCTTTGAAAGTCTGGCATTTCCGTGCAACCAGTTTGGTAGTCAGGAACCAGGAAGTAACAAAGAGATTGAAGATTTTGTCTGCACTCGTTTTAGATTTAATCTATAGTTATCATTTGTTGTGGCTCAGTGTATATATTGAGCAGTCGAATGCTCATTGAAATTTTTATATGTCTGCACTTGTAGCTCACTGTATGATACATGCTGAGTTTTGTAGTTTTCTGTGGGGGCTGTTACATTCAGTGGACAGGCCAATATTAGCTTTTTGTCCAATTGGACCAATATTAGCTTTTTTTTGTCCAAAAGCCCAAAAGCCCAAAATTATTTTTGGGATTCCCGATTTGTCCCGAAATCCCGAAACTATTTCGGGATTCCCGAAAATTGGGATTCCCGAAAATTTGGTTTGGGATCGGTATTGAAATTGGGATTCCCGAAAATTTCGGTATGGGAATCGGGACAAGGGTTTCGGTATGGGATCCCATACCGAACCACCCCTATATATATATATATAGATATATATATATATATATATATATATCAACTTGGTCCACTCATGTTTGTTTTGCGCCCCCTTCAGGACTTAGAATCGAGGCATACAATCCCGGCGTCGGCATCTTCGAATCCTCTTAGTGTAGGACCCACTCATTTGTTCATTCAATTTTATATTATTTCCTTTAGTGTTCTAGTTAGTTGTATGTTCTGAACACGTTCCTTAAATGCATATTCTTTATTCTTTTATATTTATAAGTTTTATTTATTCCTTATTCTCAGCATTTGAACTCAATAAATGGTTTTCGTCACCCTCGGGTGTTGGCCAGCACTTACCTATCCTGGTATTCGGGGAATATTAGGATCAGGGTGTGTCAAACATTTTGGCACGCCCAGTGGGACCAAGTGCTAAAACTACAAATTTCATGACCATTGAAACACGGTCCGTAAAAATGAAAACAATCATGGGCAAGTCAACGACTAATTTTCCTCCTACAATCCAAAGCCCAGGACAAGATGGCTCGTCACAAGCACATAATCCTTCTACTGCCATGACACCAGAAGCCACAGGTACAACACGTCGAGAAAATGAAGTTAATCTTGATGGTCAGACTCATGATGCAGAAATCCCCACCATCTAGATCTTTTCTCCAGCGATGATTTGAAGAACAATCCCGGCAATTTGAGCAAATGTTCAGCTGAGAGGTAAAAAGCATACTTGAATAAATGCGCGATAATAGCGTTGTGCAGGACAAATTGCTCGAAGTTCTTGTCAGTAAAGTCCACGACATTAGACCCGTCGATCGATCCAGGCAGCCTCTTCTTCTGAAGAATAATCCCCTGCCAGCAATACAGGCCGAGACAGGATCTGCTCAACTCAAAATGATTGACTTAGAGAAAAGTGGTAGATCAAGCAACAAATCGGACAAATTTGACCAAGGAGCAAAAGCAGCATCTATTAACATGGTCAAAGTCCAGATGATGATTGATTCGGCCTTAAAAAAGGGCCGAAGTTTCCAAAGTTCATTCACCCATACCCAGCCATTGTAGAAAAGTTCGAATATCCTAACTCCTAAGGGGTTTAAGATTCCAGACTTTAGCCTTTTTGCTGGAGAATCATCCTTATCCTCATTAGAACACGTATATATTGTCAAACGAGTCGGATTAAAAAAGAGCCACAAATAACAAATTTGCAAGTGCGCTCTCTCTCCGAACTCCAAACAGTTTTTGCGACTCTCAGCTCTGCCCTACAAGCATTTCAAGTTTAGTAAGATGGATGACAGTTTATACGACGAGTTTGGTAACTCTATAGGCCCGAAAATATGATGAGTTTGGTAACTATATAGGCCCGAAAATTAAGTCTGACAAAGAGAGTGATAGGGAAGACAAAGATAAGAAGATTCCAGATAGGCACGAAGAGATTGCATCGGATGATGACGATGCAACTGCTGGTTCCAATAGGTGGCTAACCGCCTCCAATGATGTTGATATGGATAACCAGGTTGTACTTGCAGAGGATAAAAAATACTACTCGACCACTGAAAAGGTTTACGATGAAGATGTTGAGACTCTGGTTATGGATGAAGATGCACAACCTCTGGAATAACCCATTATTAAGCCTGTTAAGAATGTCTAGTTTGAGGTTGGTGTCAAGGATTCTTCCACCTACGTGTCAAATCAATTCCTTTTTGGGACTCATGTCGAACCTGTCTCTAGTTCTGTTACTGCGGGTAAAGGATATTGAGCTTGGAAGGTCCAAGATCGATTATAAGAGATAATCTGCATATATCACATGGCAGGGAGAAATTCTTTCCAGCTGAGACATCAAAGTTTCTCAAGAAGTCATCTGCTCTAGAGCTTGTTTTCTTTTTTCAACATCTTAGATGGGTTGCAGATATCAACCAGGTTTTTGCAGTTCGTGTTTTGATGCAGTGGTTTGATCAGACAACAAAAGTCAGGAGGATTATGATGAATACACTACAAAAAGTTCCATATTTTAAGTTCTAATCCTAACCTGAAGACAAGGTTGTTCTTCTAGGAAGGGGCAATGTTGTGATTTGTGATTGCCTTGGTCACAATTAGAATTAAGTTAGTTGTTATTCTTCTTTTAGGTAGTTTGTTAGATGCCAGTTGGCAAAAGTGTGGGAGCTAGTATATGAAGCAAAAAATGAGTGGATTTTTGTACCAGATCAGTTTTATAGAGATATTAAATACAAAAATATTGAGCTATGCGTAGTAGATAATTTTCGTTGTCTTCAGTCTTGACGAAAAAGTAGCTACAAAACAATCAAAATCAAACACCAAAGCCTCATGCACCCACGAGGAGTTGCCAAAATTTGGTAGAGATGAGGGTATAAATAAGGGATGTGATGTGATAGGTATAAATAGGGTATAATTAAGAGATAATATCTTGGAACGATGATGAGAATATCCCTAATTGATGGTGATAGGGATTCTTACTTGAAGTGTTGATCTTCACTTAGGATTGTATTAATGGTAATGCTAAAGAGATTAAATTTAGAGACAAAGTTTTGGAAACTAAAAGACATGAAAGTTGATTATTGGTTTATTACTTAAAATAAATGTACTTACACATTATTTAGTTTGCAAATTTAGTCTCTCTAGCATTACCCATATTCCTTCATTTCCTCTTATCCCCTATCATTCTATGCTACTTGCAGGCTGAATAAGGACTAAGAATGTTACTTGCAGGTTGAATAAGGACTAAGAATTGGGTAGTATCACGCACAAAGAAAAAAAAGGTGAAGAGATGAGGGAAAGGGGAGGAATGAGTGGGGTGGGGCTTAATAGAAGAGATGACGGGGATGAATCTGGGTTCTTTATTTAATGAGTAATGTTATACTTATTATTTATTTGTATTATCATTTATACTATCTCTCTAATAAATGTAAGGTTCATCAACGCATGCGGATCTCATTTATAATAAACACGATACAAATAATGGTGGAAAGAAACCCGCCCCGGTATAGAATATCTTCACGTGACGGGAGCTTAATTCAAGCCGAACGATCTCCCATTTCGTGCTCAACCGAAACGCAGAGTGGTTCGTAAGCTTTAGATAATCTGTGATTAATCTAACTACTAATTGATTAATCTAACTACTAATCACAATTAGTAGTTGCAATCTCAAATCGCAGCAAGCACACAGACAGAGCGGGAGAAGCTAAAAATGGCGAACGCAATTCGGTTTTTTGAGTTGAACACCGGCGCCAAGATTCCTTCCGTCGGCTTGGGCACATATCGCGCCGATACTCATGTCGTCAGCGACGTCATCGCCGCCGCAATTAAGGTACAGCTGCTGTTTTCTCAGTTTCTCAATCATTATTAATTCTAAATACTGATCAGGAAGATTAAATTACGTGCTTATAATTTGATTGGTCTGAGCTGAATTTTGAGTTGTTTCCTGGTGGGCTCTGTGTGTGTAGATTGGGTATCGTCATATTGATTGTGCTCAGATGTATGGAAATGAGAAGGAGGTAACACAAGAATTCATGCTTTTGTTTCTTATCAATTTTTTGCTGGAACATTTTATATTGTTGGGTACTTTCTTCTAGAAATTGTTGTTTTGGAGAAGAACTTACTGAAACGGGATCCCATGTGGCGGTATTCCAAGCGAATTACGCACAGCTACCTAGGAAATAAATGCATGATAGTATGTAATGGTTTGGGATACAGCCACAGTGACATTTCCGTTGTAGGAGAGAAATTGGGTAGGCGGCCGTACCCAAGTTTTTTCTCTAGTTGTAGATTAGTTTCTCCAATTTTTCTTCAATGGTCTAGCTACTAAGTAGTACGGGAATTGAACGCTCAAGATTGAATTGTGGAGATACTATTTTTTCTTACTTACCAATCTAATGGGGTAATAAGGGCGGACTACTCTCAGTAGTCCGGACTATTGAAGACTTACCTTAGTTTCTCTAGTTGTTTTGAGACTTTGAAAAACTTTGTGGTTTATGTATATAGATTGGTGATGCTCTGAAAAAGCTGTTTAATGACGGTGTAGTGAAGCGTGAGGACATATGGATCACCTCCAAACTCTGGTTTGTTTTCACTTTCGCTTAGATGCATGATTTCATACTCTGTTCACAAGCTGTTTGCTGGGCTGTCAATTATCATGGCCTTTACCATCACATTCTAGTTAAGATTACAATTAATGCAGGTGTAGTGATCATGAACCAGAAGATGTACCAAAGGCATTTGACAAGACTTTGCAAGACTTGCAACTTGACTATCTGGATCTTTATCTTGTATGTCCTCCACCTTTAATCTTTCCCTTTTTAGTTTTGCATGCACCAAAAAGACGTCACCAGACAGCGATCCTTCATATTTCTGCTTTACTATTTTGCTTTTGGAGGTAATAAATGATTAAGTAATCACATGCCATGTAATAATCAAACCGAATTTGAAGAGACTGAGACTTTGGGAGCTTCACTAGCAAACCTATTAAGTTTTGATGCGTTCATAGAGAGTATTTGAGTTGTTCATTTGCAATCGAATGCGACAAAAAACTTTGGTGTAGGTGCACTGGCCAGTGAGCATGAAGAAAGGGTCAGTTGGCTCTGATCCTCACAACCTAACCCAACCTAATATACCCAGTACATGGAAAGCAATGGAGGCACTCTTTGATTCTGGCAAGGCCAGGGCCATTGGAGTCTGCAATTTCTCTTCAAAGAAGCTCGGAGATCTGTTGGAGGTGGCACGAATACCTCCTGCAGTTAATCAAGTGGAATTGCACCCTCACTGGCAGCAACTAAAGCTGCACGCTTTCTGTAAATCCAAGGGAATTCACTTAACTGTGAGTATGCTGATATAAAGTTGTTTGTTGTTCTTATAGGTAGTAATATCTCCTTAGAAGTTATCTACTGTTATACTACTGATGCCATGACATAAACTTGTGTGAATGCATTGAAAACACAATGTACTAGTTCTCAATCTTGGCCACAGTGGCTAACTACTGATATATTTGTCCTTCCAGGGATTTGCACCATTGGCGAGGAACAAGGTCCTTACGAATCCTATTGTGAATTTGGTGGCAGAAAAATTGGGCAAGACTACTGCCCAAGTGACTCTTCGGTGGGGGCTGCAAATGGGCCACAGTCTAGTGCCTAAAAGCACAAATCCAGAAAGGATACGGGAAAATTTTGATATTTTCGATTGGTCTATACCTGAAGACTTGTTTGCCAAGTTTTCTGAAATTAATCAGGCAAGTGCCTTTTCCCCTTCTTTTCATTCCTTATTTCTCGTTCTATTTGTCCTAGTTTTTGCACTTGATTGTCATTATAAGAGTCAGTCAAGTTTGTTCGATGTATCATTTGAATGACCATATTGATTAGGCACTTGTAAGCTGTGACTTTATGATAGTTTGCATATTCATAGTTATTCGACCTTGTAAATATAAACTAGAGACATTGGTTTTCTAGTATGCGAAAGGGGTTTAGTTTCTTTTGGATGATTGAATTCAATGTTCTGTTTGATTGATCATGCAGGAGAGGCTTATCAAAGGTACTGGTTTCGTGCATGAGACTCTGGGTGCATATAGGACCGTGGAAGAACTATGGGACGGCGAGTAATGAGCAGAACCTTGATGTTAGGAATGTCTTCAGTATAGTAAGTCGGGGAGGATTATGCTGTACCTGAAGATATTGCCGAAGGTCGAAAATGTTGCATCTGTTAGGTGTTGAAATGGTGGAACTGTTCACTGTTGCTTGTTCAATTTTCTTTCCAAACATGCTTTTTTTCTCATGTCTGTACAATGTTACAGAAACCAACTTGTGGTGGTCCGATTTCTCTGCCTTGCCTTAACAATGGCTCGCCTTGCCTTAACAATGGCTCGCATAGTCTTTCACAATCACGTTTGCTCCTTTTGCAAAAAAGGAGCCTAGGGGTGAAAATCAAGGTGCAAAAAACATTGGCCATTTCTATAGGAAATTAGGAATGTATTCATGATTGTTTTGTGACCAAACAGCGATTTTTCTTCAATGCTACGTAGCATTGAATAATACAAATAATAATAGCTGAAATTGAAAATAGAAGATCTAAATAATTGTATAAATCAAACATAATATACTCGTGACACTAAATGATACATAACATTAAAGCCATACCTACTAAAATTGAACACAAACAACAATTTGCTATGTTCTCCTGTATTATTAGTGCTATGAAGTTCATTATTATTATTTTTAATGAGAATAATGGATCTCAAAAGAATTTGAGACGTCTTCAAACATTGTAAAGACAAGTGTCATTTACCAAAAGTTGATTCCTATTAAATTTTCTGCTTTAACAAACTTATATCTCTTCTTCTTCTTCTCCTTTTTTTTTAAATAAAAGGGAGACAATTGATAGTGAACTACGATTATCTACTTCTTCTAAGCCCGAATGAAGCTAGTTGGGAATTGCACCCTACATGTGGCAATAATCAAGTATAGTCACAGCTTACAAAATAGGGAACTTTAACGAAAAGCACCCGGTACTGTTCACTTTAACGAAAAACCACATTTTTACACTAAAAAGTCAATCATGGTACTATTCACTTTACCCTTTATTTTGTCCTTATCATTAAAACTCAAAGTTTTCAAGCCCTTTTCATTAGTTTTCCTTACAAAATATCTATAGAAATATATCTCAATCAGTGTTGTTGGACTATTTTAGTATGACAATTGCTCAACTCCTTTAGTCCATTTGTTATTCTCCTTAACCACACATTAGACTACATAAAACAAAAAGTTATGCGCACATGTTAAGTAATGATCTGTTTTTAAATAAGCAAGACTTCTTACATGTAAAAAAAACCAAGTATTTCATTCTAAATATCCTCAAATTTAAATTAAATGAGTTCATCAACCGTGACATCCGAGATCACTAATACAAAGCTATATAAAAAAAAAATCTTACAAGTAACTTTGTAACTCAAAACGTAATGAAATTGAATTAAAAAACTAGTTTGACTTTGACACTACACCTCGAAAATTCACAAGACATCCTTTCCCTTCCACTTGTCGATTCTCCTAGAAAAAAGATTGACGTCCTTTTATACATGTAGCAATAATCAAGCATATTTATAGCTTACAAAATATTATAAAAATATATCTTAATCAATGTTGTTGGACTATTTTAGTATAAACATTACTCAACCCACCCAACTTCGCTACTAAACATTTCAACAGCGAAGTCTTGTTCTTGCTCAACTCCTTTAGTCCTTGCACTTAAGGAGTCCATCTGTTATTCTCCTTAACCGCACACTAGACTACATAAAAACAAAAAGTTATGCACACATATCGAGTAATGACCTATTTCTAAAGAAGCAAAACCTCTTACATGTAAAAATACGAAGTATTTTATTCTAAATATTCTCAAATTTAAATAAAATGAGTTCATCAACCGTGACATCCGAGACCACTAATACAAAACTATATAAAATAAGGACGTGGATTGTCTGTCTTTCTCATCCCATAATCTTCTCATCCCCTCCTATTTATGTAGTCACGGTTAAGCTACGTCAACATTTATATTGATTTTTTTTATAGAAATAATAAGACAAAAAGCAATGAGAATATAAAATGTTGACGTGGCTTAACCATAACCATAAAAATAGAAGGGGATATGAAGGGTATGAGATAGGGAGGGCAAACAATCCAAGTCCATAAAATAAAGTCTTACAGGTAACTTTTGTAACTTAAAATGTAATGAAATAGAATTTAAAAACTAGTTGGACTTTGACACACCTCGAAATTTCACAAGACTGTTGTGAATAATATGTAAATGGCCCACATAAATAATCTTTTACTATTTATGCATAGTATTTTCACTATTCATTTGTGGAAATTTTGTAAAGTAAATAATGTTGCTACAGTAACCTTTTCCTATCAAATGAAAGCATGTGAAGAAGAGAGGAAGAAGTGAGAGACTCACGGTAGAGAGAGAGAGAGAGGAAAGAAGAGGAAGAGAGAAAAGAGAGGAAGATGAGGGGGAGAGTAAAAAGAGTTATTTTTGTACTCTTATCATTTTAGATTATAATGAAAGTATCATTGTTGCACCGAGGATTAACTCTAGTCACACTGATTGTAGAGGAACCTCGTAAATTTTATGTCTTATTTATTTATTTCATTGCACACACCGTCAATTTTACAACAAAGACAACCTTTTCCCTTTCAGTTGTCGAGTCCCCTGAAAAAGATCGACGTCTTTTTTTTTTGTCTTTGGATAAAATGCAAAGAAATAACTAGTTGATAACTCCACCACGTGTTTTACCCTTGGCCACTTGATGACTGGCTTTCACTACGCAAAATCTACGGCTACCAAAGGTGGCGTATTCCATACCAACGGCTCAGATCTCCTTGTGCCATTTGATACCAGGACTCGTGGAACACTACCACATTCAGAAAGTGGAAAAGACTATTTTTGCTATGGTGTGAGAATAAGTAGCTGTGAAATAAAACAGTACAATGTTTGTTAAACTTTTTTGTAAAAGTGTTTTTGAAAAAGAAAATGCAGCATGATAGTTTTTGATAACTTTTATGTAAAACAGTTATGACTGTATGAAATGATCAAAAAACGTATAATACTAGATATGTTATTAATTTAATTTTTTGAACAAATAAAGATGAATTAATAAATATATTTTATTTTTAAATAAAAATATTTATAAGCTTTATCTTAAATATTTATAATTAAGAAATTTAAAAAAAATTAATGCCTAAAAATTAATACATCTCTCTCTCTCTCTCTCTCTCTCTCTCTCTCTCTCTCTCTCTCTCTCTCTCTCTCTCATCTTCTTCATTCTTGTGTTTTCCCTCCCTTATCCCCTTCACGCTGCAACAGCAGCCAAGGCGCAGCCGTCGCGAACAACCCTCCATTTCCAAGGCGCTGCTCCATTTGCTCGTCCGTCATCACCTTCACGAACAACCCTCCATTTCCATTTCCAACCCCATCATCTTCTTCTGGGTTCTGCAAATTCTGGTGGATTATTTGCTACTGCTGCTGCTGCCACTCCCCCATCATCCTTCCCAATCAATTTGCTGAGTTGCTTTTCCTTCAACTCGTTTTTCCTCTTAGGCTAGTGGTCTGTGGACGCGAGGAACGAAAGGGAAGAGAGAGATTCGGTAATGTTTCTCGAGACTCTGAGGGAACGCTTTTCTGGAGAAACACAGAAGATTGCGAGAGAGAGGTAGAAGAGGAGGGCACAACTAATGATAGAGAGAAAGACGGTAGGATTGGAAAATTGAAAAGTTTATTTATTTTTTACTGTTCACCCGTGTTTTACCAAAATAAGATGTTTCGTCGAAGCTGTTATTTCCAGCTTCTAGTTTTCAACTTTTTTTCACCTATAATTTTGAAAAAAAAAACAAAAAACTGATTTAAAGTGTTTATCAAACACTTAAAATGCTCCAACGTTTTTTTATACACACTTTTTTTTTAAGTTAAGCTAAGCCAAACTAAGGCTAAGGGCTAGTTTGGGATTTGAGCGGTGAGAATAAACAGTTGTGAAAAAAAAAGCAAGTAAATGTTTGGTAAACTATAATGGTAGAAATGCTCTTAGCAAAAAAAAAAACAGTATTAGAGTGTTTGGTAACTTTTATATAAAACTGTTGTACTGCTGAGGTTGTGTAAAATGACTAATAAGAACATTAATCATTCATAGAAGAATGTCTAAATTATCAGAAAACTCATCAATCATTCATAGAAAAATCACAGATTGCAAAAACACATACTAAAATCCATATCTTTATGTATCCAATTTTTCAAAATAATAGAGAGGAAGATGACTTGGCTTGCTGGTTTAGTTGATGTCAGTGTCACCGAAATCGTCCTTGAAGTAAGTGAAGAAATCGGCATTGGCTAGCTTGCTTTCACCCGTTAGGGTGTCGCGGAATGCCTCAAGTCGGTTGATGAGACAAACTCTCTTGTCAAACAGCTGTAAACGAAGACGTATCGGCTTCCGTCAAACGGTAGTAAACGATGACGTATCGGCTTATGCCAAACGGTCGTAAACGATGACGTATCGGATTCTCTCCCGCCGGCTCCTTTATATACGAGCTTGAAGTCGCCTTTCATGGAGATCACTCGCTGTCTCTCTCTCTCTGTACACTTCACTCTTTCGCTCCGGAGAAATGGCCGACGACATTCGTTTCTTCGAGCTGAACACCGGTGCTAAGATCCCGTCGATAGGGTTGGGGACCTGGCAGTCCAGCCCTGGCGTCGTCGGCGACGCCGTTCACGCCGCCGTCAAGGTATTTTTCTTTCCCTTACTTTACTCATATCATTTTGTGTTTCTTCTAACTGAAAATTCGAACATTTGCGGAAGATAAGTGAATTTGTGGTTTTAATAATTGCAGGCGGGGTATCTATTAAGCGACGATATCGTTGCGGATACTTACTTGTTTCCCCTTTATATTAGGAGTAGAATTGATCCGTATAAATCAATGTAAATCTTCTTTATTTCCTTCTTAGAATAGACTTCCTTGTATTATATAAGTCTTGTATTCTATTGTAAAAGATCAATGTGAAATATTCAAAGTTTATTCCCAGACTTCATATTTCTAAACCCTAGCCGAGTTACTTTTCAACATGGTATCAGAGCACCGTTTCTGGTGACTCTGAATACCCACACAGCTTCCGCAAATCTTAACAAACACAACATCACCTAAACCACCATGGGCGAACCAATACCTAAGGCGTCCACTGACACCCAAAACCCTATGGAGACAATCACAGATGTCTCGAACCCTTTTATTCTACATCCCTCAGATCAACCTGGGAATATCTTGGTCTCCAAAACACTTCAAGGAGACAACTACAATACCTGGAGTCGTGCTATGCGAATCAGCTTGAGCGCGAAAAATAAACTTGGCATGGTTGATGGCACCATCGACCCTCCATCAGAGACTGACAAACAATTTGCATCATGGCAAAGATGCAATGATATGGTTCTTGCCTGGATTCTCAACTCAGTTCACGATGACATTGCGAGCAGTGTTTCTTATTACACGACAGCAACCGATGTTTGGGCTGACCTGCGAGATCGTTTCTCACAAGGAAACGACTCACGCATTTATCAAATCAAGAGAGAGATCGTTGAACACAGACAGGAACAACAATCGATCTCGGTTTACTACACGAAACTGAAAGCGTTGTGGGATGAACTGGCATCCTACAATGAAACTCCGACTTGTACCTGTGGGGGATTGAAGAAGATAAATGATCGAGATGAGAAAGAAAGGGTGATGCAGTTCCTGATGGGTTTAAACGACTCTTATGCAGCAGTACGTGGACAGATACTATTGATGCAGCCACTACCAGACACTCGGAGGGCATATTCCCTTGTTCTCCAACAAGAGAAGCAAGTAGAGGTATCTCTAAATCGTAACAATATAAATCTGCATGCTATGAATATAACCCGTAACAGGGACACTGCTGCACCGAAAGGAAACACCCTTCAATGCTCATATTGTGATCAAAAGTACCACACCGTGGATCGATGCTTTTACTTGTATGGTTTCCCGCCTGGCCATAAGTATCATGGCAAATCAGTCAAGCCACCAAACAAAAGAAAACCTGCGGCAAACCAAGTAACGGTGGAGACCGAGACCACCAAGGGTGTAGACTCACGACACAAGGCAACGTCCAGTGACGGTCCGAAGTTCACCACAGAAGAATATAATCAACTTATGGCAATGCTCAAGAAGAGCAACGTTGATGGTAATCCGCAGCATTTTGCAAATGCAACAGGTACAATCACACCTTCTTCTGACTTGTCAGAGAAAACTTTATATTGGATCATTGATAGTGGGGGCAACAGACCATGTATCTCCTTCTCCTCATTTGCTAGACAAGAAGTCATTATCCATGCTGGATTCTGTTCAATTACCGAATGGAGGACATGCCTTGATAGACTCGATTGGTTCTATACAAGTTACTCCACACATGAAACTTGATGGAGTGCTCCATGTGCCCAACTTTCGAGTTTACTTATTATCTGTTAGCAAACTTACTGAAGCATTACGATGCATAGTGATTTTCTTCCCTGATTTCTGTGTGATACAGGACATGGATACGAGGAGGACGATTGGCCTGGGCAAGCGATATAATGGGCTTTACTACTTGGCGCCAGAACAAAAACCTTCGCCTTGCTCACCACATTAGCCACAACTCCACCCTCTGGCACCAACGATTAGGGCACCCTTCTACCGGTCCTCTGCAAACTTTAACCAAACAAGTTCCATCAATAGTTTTTGATTCCAGTCATACATGCGACATTTGTCCTCTTGCTAAACAAACCCGGTTATCTTTTCCGTCCAGTTTTATTTCTTCTAAAGCACCTTTTGATTTGATACATTGTGATATTTGGGGACCTCATCGAGTCAATTCCCATTCGGGGGCTCGGTATTTTTTAACGATTGTTGATGATTATTCTCGCTATACTTGGATACATCTCATGCGTTTTAAATCCGAAACACAAGGGTTATTACGTTCTTTTATTGCTTGGGTCCAAACACAATTTAATTGCATGATTAAAGCACTTAGGGCTGATAATGGTGGTGAATTTACCTCTTTACGTTCGTTTTTTTGATAACAAGGGTATCATATTCCAAACTTCTTGTCCGTCCACACCACAACAAAACGGGGTTGTTGAACGGAAACACCGTCATCTACTAAATGTTGGTCGAGCTCTACGGTTTCAAGCCCATTTACCACAAACCTTTTGGGGGGAAAGCATACAAACAGCATGTTATTTAATTAATCGTTTACCTACACCTCTTCTTAGTCATAAAACACCTTATGAGCTTTTGCATTGTCAAACTCCCGTTTTTTCGCATCTCCGGGTTTTCGGTTGTTTATGTTATGCTACCAACCTTCATCCTCACCATAAGTTTGATCAACGTGCTAAAAGATGTGTTTTTGTTGGGTACCCATTAGGTCAGAAGGGTTATCGTGTTTATGACCTTACCACACACAAAAATTTTTCCACTCGTGACGTGACCTTCCATGAAACCACGTTCCCTTTCTCCACTCAACCACTTGACCATCACCCTGATACACCTGTCCTACCTATCCCCACCGACTCCCTATCTCATCCTAATCCCCCACCGCCACCGACTGCACCTCCTTCCCCCACACCGACCGACACTTTTTTATCCACACCAACGGAAACTGCTCCTCCCATAGAACCTTCTCCTCCCACACCGACCGAACCTCACTTAGTCCCTCCACCACTCCCTACCCCCCACATGCCCCACCTGCCCCTCGCCAATCTGGCCGCGCCCTTAAGCCCTCTGTCAGGCTGCAGGGATACCATTTATATCATGTGCAATCCCTTGCTCCCAGCGCCACGTCCTCCTCCATGTCAGGTACTCGCTATCCTTTAAATCACTATGTATCTTATGCTCATCTTTCACCATCACATCGCTCTTTTGCTTGTGCTATTTCGACTCTTGTCGAACCCACTACATTTGCACAGGCTAACGGTGATCCTCAATGGCGTGCTGCCATGGACTCTGAGCTTCTGGCTCTTGAACAAAACAACACATGGACTCTCACTACCTTACCTCCTGGTCATCGCGCAATCGGTTGCCGATGGGTCTACAAGATCAAGTACAACTCTGACGGTACCGTCGAGCGTTATAAAGCTCGTCTTGTGGCCAAAGGCTTTACTCAACGCGAAGGTATTGATTACAAGGAAACTTTTGCTCCTGTTGCCAAACTCATCACCGTCCGTTGTTTGTTAGCCGTTGCTTCTGTTCGTCATTGGTCCTTACATCAAATGGATGTCCACAATGCCTTCCTTCATGGTGACCTTTCTGAGGAAGTTTATATGCAGCTGCCTCCTGGACTTCATCGGCAGGGGGAGCATAATGTATGCCGACTCAACAAGTCCCTTTATGGCCTTAAGCAAGCCTCTCGCAGCTGGTTCCATAAATTTTCCACTGCCATAGGTCAAGCTGGCTACCAGCAATCAATGGCTGACTACTCCCTATTCACTAAGGTGCGTGGAAATTCGTTTACAGCCGTCTTGCTTTATGTTGACGACATGATTATCACAGGCAACGATGAGGCTGCCATCCATGACCTCAAGCAATTTCTTCAATCTCATTTTCGCATTAAGGACCTTGGACACTTAAAGTATTTCCTTGGTGTGGAGGTGGCTCGATCTTCTCAAGGAATCGCCATCTCACAACGTAAATATGCGCTTGACATTATTGATGAAGCCGGCTTACTTGGTGCAAAGCCTGCAAAGTTCCCAATGGAAGAAAACTTGAGATTATCTCCAACGGAAGGGCAACTTCTCCATAATGCCTCACAATACAGGAGGCTTGTTGGGAAACTTATTTATCTCACAATCACTAGGCCAGAGATTTCATACTCGGTCCATATACTCAGCCAATTTATGCAACAACCAAGGAAGCCTCATCTAGACGCAGTGCATCGTCTTCTACGATACTTGAAGGGATCACCTGGACAAGGGCTTCTTTTTCCTTCAAATGGGAGTTTAACGTTGAAAGGATATTGCGACGCCGATTGGGCTCGCTGTTCACTTACGAGAAGATCTGTCACAGGCTATTGTATATTTCTTGGAGGTGCACTAGTGTCTTGGAAAACCAAGAAACAATCTACCGTTTCGAGATCCTCAGCTGAAGCGGAGTATCGTGCCATGGCTTCAGCTACATGTGAGCTTACGTGGATGAAGTACTTATTGACTGATCTACAAATTGATCACAAGGGTCCAGCAAAGCTGCACTGCGACAACCAAGCTGCACTCCACATAGCTGCCAATCCAGTTTTTCACGAACGCACCAAACACATAGAGATTGACTGTCATGTTGTTCGTGAACGACTACGTTCTGGGGTTATTTCGACAACCTATGTACCTACTGGACAGCAGCTTGCCGATATATTCACCAAGCCACTTGGACAGTCAGCATTCCGTTCTCTACTTGGCAAGATGGGTGTTCTTGACATTCACACTCCACCTTGAGGGGGAGTATTAAGCGACGATATCGTTGCGGATACTTACTTGTTTCCCCTTTATATTAGGAGTAGAATTGATCCGTATAAATCAATGTAAATCTTCTTTATTTCCTTCTTAGAATAGACTTCCTTGTATTATATAAGTCTTGTATTCTATTGTAAAAGATCAATGTGAAATATTCAAAGTTTATTCCCAGACTTCATATTTCTAAACCCTAGCCGAGTTACTTTTCAACAGTATCGGCATATTGATTGTGCTCAAATCTACGGCAATGAGAAGGAGGTAATTGCACTTGCTTTCTACTAAGTTAGTTATTCAAGTCCTTGTTTGTTAACCATTTCGTTTTCAGTTTTTAGATTACGATTTTTGTGCTAGAGATAGAGAGTATGTATGGAGAAAAAGAGTAGAGAAAGGTGATGGAGGGATCTGTATCTAACAGAATTAAGAAGGAAAACTAAGAACTAAAAATGAAATTGTTATCAAACGAGCTCTAAACATTTGTTGCAGGTTTCGTTACAAGAAAATTGCTCCCAGCACCTGCAAACATTCGGGTTTTAACTGTTTTTTTTTTTCATTTCTGAGAGCTGATTGATTGCCTTGCATTGCCTCTTAAATTTAATTAATTTGCGGGCATTTCTAGGTATTCAAATCCAGATAAAAGTTGGAATTATTCATGTTAGACTAATTCTTTGAGTGGTTACCAGAATATGGTTTAACCAACATGTTTTTATTTCTTGTAGATTGGTTTGGTTCTGAAGAAACTGTTTGAAGATGGCGTGGTGAAGCGCGAGGATTTGTGGATTACCTCCAAACTCTGGTTTGTTTAATGCTAATTTAACTGAGTACTAGATCTCGAGGAATTTCCATGAGGGCATGATGAAATGGAATGACTGTTTCGGTTGTTTATCCGCAGGAATACTGATCATGCTCCAGAAGATGTACCAGAGGCATTGGACGGGACTCTGAGAGACTTGCAACTGGATTATGTTGACTTGTACCTTGTACGTATTACCTGTCTAGATCTTTCTCTCGAGTCATGCCTGTTAGAGTCTGATACTAAATTGTACACATTTTGTTTTATAATTTAGTTAGTGCAGAGGTCCTTTTGAAGGAATGGAATGGTAGCCTGTATTCCGTAGTATGATCTTATAAGTTACCTTCAAATGCATTGATTCCTTCTGAGTCTGGCTATGTTACCTGCATTTTGCTATACATTATCAGGTTAAAATCATAGATAATCAACCTAATCATCTTGGATTCGTTGTGGTATTCTGTGGACGTTATTATGCTGTAACTAATGAACCTGCTGAAAATTTTGAAGATACACTGGCCAATCCGGATGAAGAAGGGGTCAGGAGCAAGTTTTAACCTTGAAAACTTTATTGACCCTGATATCCCTGCGACTTGGAGAGCAATGGAAACACTCTATGATTCGGGAAAGGCTCGAGCTATTGGTGTATGCAATTTCTCCACAAAAAAGCTGTCAGATTTGCTGGATATTGCACGTGTTCCTCCTGCTGTTGACCAAGTGGAGTGCCATCCTTCGTGGCAGCAGGACAAGCTACGTTCTTTCTGTAAATCCAAGGGAGTTCACCTTTCTGTGAGTATGCAAATACTGAATCGCATTGTCTGTGTCTTGAGTAGTTAAGACATACCTGTCTGTGATTGGGTAATAGTTTATTTAATTTGCTTGGCAAGTTCAAATGGGAGATAATCATATATTTTGCTTTCTTTCAGTGATATTCACCACTGGGCTCTCCTGGAACAACATGGATCAAAAGTGAAGTCCTTACGAATCCGATTCTTGCAACAGTCGCTGAGAAATTAGGCAAAAGTCCGGCACAAGTTGCTCTTCGTTGGGGACTGCAAAAGGGTCATAGTGTTCTTCCCAAGAGTACCAATGAAGCGAGGATCAAGGAGAACATTGATGTGTTTGGTTGGTCCATCCCAGATGACTTGTTCGCCAAGTTTTCTGAAATTGAGCAGGTAAGTCGTCACTGGAATTGATTCTTCTCTATTCTCACTGCTATTAGTGCCCTAACTTACCTACGGGGAGGATGCCATTGTTGCGTTATCCCGAGCGAATCATGCACTAATAATTTCTATGTAGTCTTTTCTCCCTACTAACTACATTGATTTCAAATTATGCAGGCAAGACTCATCAGATGGCTCTCACCTGTTCATCATACTTCTGGTCCGTACAGGAGTTTAGAGGAATTCTGGGACGGTGAAATCTAGATTCTAGAAAGGTTGATGAACCTTTAAGTGGTCTGCTACATGTAATGTAATAGTAACTTAATATTAAAGAATAATGTAGATTGTGATATGTAACGTAATAAGAATGTAACATAAGAGAATATCGTTGATTGTGATTTGCCTTTACATCAACTTCGGCTTCTTCAAATACATAGAGCTAATTGTTTTTATCTAGAAAATTGAGTCTGCGTTGAAATTTGGAGGTGAAGATATTGCCCAAGGTTGAAAATGTTCTCATAATCTTTCCCACTCACTATCCTTCAACGGCTCATAATACTAAAATAAAAGTGCGTTCCATAAAAAAATTTCTTTAACATTAAAGAATATCACAAATAAATAAATATTTAAATTCAAAACGCAATTGACTTAAAGTGAACAAACCATCAACGAGAACGATTTCAGCTATTTAATTTGAGAAACATTAGTTTGACTTCGACACACCTCGAAAATTCACCATACATCCTTTCCCTTCCAATCGTAGAGACTCCTAGTAAAAGATGGACGTCCTTTTTGATGTCTTGAATAAAAGGCAAAGAAATAGCTTGTTGGACCAAAATATTTATTAGTAAAGTTTCACACTAAGCCAAGTTTTCTCTCCGTGGTGAGAGACCTCCTGAGTGAGTGCTTTCTCCCCTTGGTGGGAGCTTGTGGCCCGGATCTAGTTTTGCTGATTTGATTGATGTTCTCCTGCTCTGTGGGGGGTACACTTTCTGATCCGCTGGCAGTTCTTGATTACGACCTTTTCTGAGGTGGACGGGGTTCTTCAATTCGAGTCAGGGAAGTGTCCGTTCCATCTTTTCCTTATTAAATTTGGTTGGTGTAAGTGTTTATTTCCCCTGTGGGTAGGTGTTTCTCTTTATTTCTGTAGGTTGACCTTGGGGGGTGGTAGTGGTGTTTAAGGTTTCTGGTGGGCCTCCGTGTTGGTGGGGAGTTATTTCCCCCTCTCTGATTTTTTGGGGGTTTCGTCTGGGTTTGGTGTCCTGATGGGGAATTTCTGTCTCCTTCGGTATTTAACTCTCAAGGACGGTTTGGTGAGCAATTTCAATGCTGTATTGGCTCTTAATTGGCCCTGGGTTGGTTCTGTGTTCCATTTGTGGTTGTTTATTCTGTCTCAGCATTTTATTCTCGGTGTTCAGCAGTCCCAGAGAATAGGTCAAAAGGTGTGTGAGTCGGAGTGTTACGGGATGGCACAGCAGGCAGTTGAAGACTTGGCTGTTCAACTTGAGCTTAATATGGAATTATCTTCTATGGCGCAGGGGGTCAAACTGGTGGGAGCTGCGTTGGTTAATCGTCCTTTAAACCAATGGGGAGTTCGGAACATTCTGAGAGCCTCATGGAAGGATTTGGGGGAGATTGAGGTGAAATGGGTTCGTGACAATCTGTACATTATCTCTGTCCCAGATGACAGTGTGGCTACACGTATCGTTAGTCAAGTTCCCTGGGCGGTTATGAAACAAAACTTTTCGGTGTGCAGGTGGCCTGTGGAATTAGCTCTTGAGGAAGTTCCGGTGGAGTTACTTCCATTCTGGGTTCAGATTCGTGGAATCCCCTTGGGTCTCACGTCTGAGCGGAATGTGAGACGGCTTGTTCGAGATGTGGGAACGTTTCTGGAGTTGGAAGATCTATCTAAGGCTCGAGGATTTGTTCGTGTCCGTATTGTGGTTAACTCGAAGAATCCGCTTATTCCCGGATGTTGGCTTTCTAGAGGGCAGGACACGGATACGTGGGTGGAATTTAAATATGAAAGGTTGCAAGATTTTTGCTACAGGTGTGGGCGAATAGGGCATGCGAATACTGAGTGCTCCTTTGAACCTCAGAAGGGTCATACTGCAGGTTATGGGGAATGGACAAAGGCGGCTCCGGTTCGTGACATTGTGCTTCCCACGAGAAGGGTTGCTTCAGGGGCTGGGGAACACAGGGTGGCGGGAGCAATGAGACAATCTCGACGAGTTGTCACGCAAGTGGGCAGCCAAGGTGCACCCCCTACCGAGCCAGAGGAGGGCGTTCGAGGTGCTGGCAGAATTATGCAACGTGATTCTCCTCCAAGTTCGAGCGGGGATCCTAAGAAATGGCGTATGAAGGGTAGGTCCGGAGGGGAACAGGCTCCTTCTGTTCAATTACATCCTGTAGTAATTGGGGGGGTTTTGGATAATCCTGAGGCATCACCTGTGCCTTATCACAGTAACGTCGGGGGTTGTTCTGCTGGCACGGTGGAGGTGTTGCAGGGGGAAGGCATAGGGGAAAAGGTTGCTAGTCCCGTGAAAAGAGGTAGTTCGGAGATGGTTGGGGAGCCAAGTCTGGTTTCATTGAAAAAAATAAAAAATGTTACGAATCCTCTGGATGTTAGTGATGTTTTGGAAGTGGAGGTGGAGAACGAGCAGATTGATTTGCTAAACCGTAACAAAGGGATATCTTCGATAGGCGGTGGCGGCTGGCCTTCAACAGCCGCACAATCGCCATGAGGTATATCTTCTGGAACTGCCGTGGTCTTGGGTCGGACACGGTAGTTCGAGCCCTGCATGGGCTTATACGTAAATATCGGCCCGCTATGGTTTTTCTATCGGAAACGAAAATGAAAGACCATAGGATTAATGGAGTGAGGCGCAGAATGGGTTTTAAGAAGGGATTCAATGTTCCTCCTGTTGGTAGATCAGGGGGATTGAGCATCTGGTGGGGTGAGGAACTAGAGGTTAATATCTAGCATTCTTCTAAGCATGTCATTGATACTTGGGTTCGTTTAGTGGATGACGTTTCTTGGACTCGAGTGACTGGTGTCTATGGTACTGCTTATCGGGAGGAGAAAGCCTCTTTTTGGGAGTGGATGAATCATCAATTTCATCCATCTTCGATCCCTTGGTTATGTGGTGGGGACTTTAATGAGTTCCTTTGGGAGTCGGAGAAGTCTGGTGGATCGCAAGTGTTATACAATAGGCCACAATACCTGGCCACTTTCCTGAATAAAGCGGAGCTCAGTGATCTTCATTTTCATGGTTCCCCATTTACTTGGCGGGGAAAGCGTAATGGTGAATTGGTGGAGGAACGGCTTGATAGAGCTTTATCAAATCAGTCTTGGCAGGAGTGTTGGCCTAATACAATGGTTATCCATGGCACTGTCATCAGATCTGACCATTGCCCGCTGATCGTCCAACGGGAGCCTCAGAGAGTTTCAGGCAAAAGGCCTTTTCGGTTTCAATCTGTTTGGGTTAAGGAGGTTGAGTGTTTGAATTTGGTGGAGCAGTGTTGGGCCAAGCCTGTTAGGGGTGCTGCTATGGGCAGGTGGACGTCTAGGATCAATGACTGTCGCACTCAACTTCAGCGATGGAGCAGGAGAAAGTTTAAAATGAGGCAGCATGACATCGAGCAGCTCACACGCGAGTTGGGTGAGCTTCAATTGAACTGGGGAGACCATGAGGAGGAGATAAATAATAAATCGCGATTGCTTGCTCACCTACTAGCGCAGGAGGAAAGTGTGTGGAAACAGCGGTCACGCATTAAATGGCTTCAGGAAGGGGATGCCAATACTAAGTTCTTTCACCAGTCTACTATGCATAGGAGAAGGCGTAATCAAGTGTTGAAACTTAAAGCTGAGGATGGTAGCTGGGAGGAGAGGCCGCAAAGAATAAAGCATTTGGTGGATAACTATTTCATTCACTTATTTACTTCTATGGGTAGCAGATCATGGGGCTCGGTGCTGAAGCATGTTCCGTCGTCTGTGTCTACTAATATGAATAATGATTTATTGGCCCCTATTTCTGATGATGAAATTCTTGCAGCTGCGATGCGGATGGATGGCTTTAAGGCTCCGGGCCCGGATGGTTTTCCGGGTGTATTTTATCATAAATTTTGGGAGCCTATTAGGAGGGAGGTTCATGCTCTAGTTAGTCTGTTGGATTCGGAAGAGACTTATCTTGGGAATATAAATGCTACGCATATCGTGCTTATCCCGAAGGTTCCCCACCCGAAAGAGGTTTCTCAGTTTAGACCGATAAGCTTATGCAACTTCTCTTATAAGATATTGGCCAAGGTGATAGCAAATCGGTTAAAGCCGCTGCTGCCGCATCTTATTTCTCCCATGCAGAATGCCTTTGTTGGTGGACGACAAATCCAGGATAATATTGGAGTTGCCCACGAGCTCTTTCATTTCCTCAAACTGAGGAAAGCTAAGAGCAGGTTTGAGATAGGAATTAAGCTGGATATGCAAAAGGCGTATGATCGGGTGGAGTGGGATTTTCTGGATGCCGTTATGGAGAAAATGGGTTTTCATTCCAGGTGGCGCAAGCTAGTTATGGGGTGTGTGACCTCGGTTTCTTTCTCGATTCTGTTAAATGGGCACCCGGGCCGTAAATTTGCTCATTCTCGTGGTTTACGTCAGGGTGACCTGTTATCTCCTTATTTGTTCCTCTTTGTTAGTGATGTCTTTTCTCGGATGATTCAAGGGGCTATTAATGGGCAGGTTTTGGAGGGTGTTAAGATGAATTTGCAGTCCCCTGTTATTTCCCACATCTTCTTTGCTGATGATTCTCTTCTTTTTTTGAAGGCCAATCGGCAAAATTGCTGTTCTTTGGTCCAGCTTATTGAGGATTATTGTACTGCTTCGGGCCAGGCGGTTAACTTTCAGAAGTCGTCTGTTTTCTTTAGCTCTAATACTCCTTCTGAGCTGTCGAGGGAGTTGGGACACACTCTTAATATGCAGGTTGTTGATGATCCGGGTACGTATCTTGGGGTTCCTGCTTTGTGGGGTAGATCAAAGAGGCAAGGTTTGGCTTTCATCAAGGGTCGGATTTTGAAGAAACTTCTTGGGTGGGCGTCAAATACCCTTTCTCTAGCGGGCAAGGAGGTATTAATCAAAGCTGTTGTCCAGGCGATTCCGGCTTACCCTATGAGTGTTTTTAAATTTCCTATGGCTGTTTGCCAAGAGTTAGACTCTCTAATTGCTGAGTTTTGGTGGGGGTCTGTGGGCGATCATTGTAAAACTCACTGGGTGTCCAAGCATACTCTGGGCCTCTCGAAAAAGGATGGGGGTTTGGGATTCCGGAACTTTTCTGATTTCAATGATGCGTTACTTGCGAAACAATGTTGGAGATTGATTCACTATCCTGATTCGTTATGGGCTAAGGTGCTTAAGGCCCGATATTTCCCGCATTGTTCGTTTCT